GCCAATTTTTGCATCTAGAGACCCTCGTGGAACGCATCTCGGAGGCCCTCGGGGGGGCTCGTGGGGGCCTCCTCTGCCGTCGAGGACGCCTCGTGGCCCTTGTTTGGGCCACCTCGGGCGGCTTGGAGCGCTCGTTGGGCGTCCCAGAGCCATGTCGAGGCCACCAGAGGAGTCCCTGCACGATTTTCACGAGGTTTTGCACGATTTTCGGGAGCGGATGACCCCTCCGTTCCCATCCGGGGGATCCGGCCCGACCCCCCCCCCACCTCCGTTCCCATCCGGGGGATCCGGCCCGACCCCCCCCCCCCTCCAAATCGACCGGACCGGGCTCCCGGGGGAGGGGTTTGGGGAGGGGGAACATTTCACACGCCGATGAACCCCAAGGGGTCGGCGGATTTTTGGAGGTCCGTGCGGATTCGTTGGACCGGTGCTGGGCCGCCCTGGCGGCGTTTCTGGCGCCGCCCTTGGTACATTCTTTGCGCCAGGGAAAGGTCAAACGCCGACTCAAGAGATTCGCGCGGGTTTCGACAGTTTTTGGTGACGCAGTGTTTTCTTTTCCTGGAGGACCAGGCCGAAGTGAGTGTGGCGATTTGGACCCGTGACGCGACGTTGCACACCAATCCGTTCATCTTATTGCTCACTTGCCCCCCCGTCGGTGTTCTGCCTTCGCCTTCCTAGTAATCCGATTCCAGTTGTCTTGTTCCTACCCTTACCATTTCTTCCTTCGTACCCAATTTCTACTCCTGCTCAGGCTCTATCTTCTTGTTCCCAACCATACTGTGGTGTTGGGTCCTCGTTTTGAAGAGAGCGCCCCGCGTCTCCTCTCCTCTCCTATCCTCTTCCCCCTCCAAACTCTTCCCATCCGCCTCGTCATCGTCATCGTCATCATCGTCATCATCATCGCCATCGTCATGATCCACATCAGCATGATCATCACCATCGCCATCGTCAGCGCCGCGCCCCTCACACGCACGGCGCGTGGCAGCACAGGAGTTCCACCGAAGGCCAAAGGCCACAGCGGGAGCGTCCGCGTGGCACCGCCGCCCCATTGTGGCACACTTTTCACACGGTTCGTGGCCCCATAGTGAGTTCCACCGAAGGCCCCAGCGGGCGAGTCCGCATGGCACCGCCGCCCCATTTCGGCACATTTTTCAAACGCTTCGTGGCATCATAGGGAGCTCCACCGGAGGCCCCAGCGGGAGCGTCCGCATGGCACCGCCGCCCCAGTTCGGCACATTTGTCACACGGTTCGTGGCCCTCACCGAAGGCCAAAGTGCCAGCGGTTGCATGGCACCGCCGCCCCATTTCGGCGCACCTTTCACACGGTTCGTGACCCCAGAGGGATTGCCACCGACGGCCACGTCGGGAGCGTCCGCATGGCACCGCCGCCCCATTTTGGCACACCCCTCACACGCTTCGTGGCCCCATAGGGAGCTCCACCGAATGCCCCAGTTGGAAAGTTCACATGGCACCGCCGCCCCAGTTCGGCACACACTTCGCACGTTGTGTGGCCCCATAGGGAGTTCGGCGGAAGGCCCCAATGGCAACGTTCGCAGCAGTCTTCCCGATTCACGTCGGCATATTTGTCACACGCTTCGTGGCAGAAAACTACACCGCGTGCGCTACTCTGAGTTTGCGCGCCCCCCTCTTTCGTCTCATCTCCATCGCGGCATTCGCAGCTGCATATGGTTGGGTCTTTCGTCAAGTTGAGTTTACACCACGGTCGTGTCCCCCCTTATCTTGTTTTGTTGTTTTGATGGTTCGGGCCAATTGGAGGCTTTGTGTGTCCAGAAAGTTTGGGAAGTCCTCGTGAACCACCTCAGGGGTCCCTGGGATATCTCAGACGCATCTCGGAGGCGATTTCAAGTTTCGCGACGGTGTATTGGTGGCTACCTTGACCTGGGCCATGTTGGACGCAGTATGCTGATATCTGATGACATGTTCGGGACCACATGGTCGTCTTGTGTTTATGTGTGATCATTGTGGTATATCGGGCCAAGAGGATAATGGGTTTGGGCATGTGTCGGCATGGCGGTTGTGCTAGAATGTGTTGGTGAATTCCGCGCATGGAAACATCTCACCACGAATTCGGAGCACCCGAGCGATTTTTTGGCCAGGCGATGGGGGCAGTGGCGTACCGAGGACGCCTCCAGCGAGTCGCCTCGCAATGTCCCCCAAATGAAATCTCAGTAACTTTATTGATCTCAGATGGTTCATGAGCTCGAGTGCCCCTTGATTGGGCCCAGTCCTCACAGAACACATTACGCATGGGATAGCAGTGCGAGTTTAAAGTCGCGTTTTTGGTTGCAGTCGTGTGTTGTTATGCGTTTGGGTCATCTGTCGCGCGCGCCCCTGAAGCCCCGGGCCCCCAAGCCCTCACCTCTCTCCCTAATATTATCTTGACAAACCTTTCTTTCTTCGTCGCATGGCAACATCTGAACATAAGCGTATGATCATGTGTCCGGCTCGGGACAACCGCAAGGCTGATGAAAGCAGTGCGGGAGGGTTTAGAAGATCCTATAAGGAGCAGCAAGACAATATTAGTATTCGCTGACGACTTTAGAAAGCGAGGCGAAAGAAGGAGTGAAAAGCGGCACAGACCGCAAACCGACGTACAAGTTCCTTCCCGTTGGTCCAGGGCGGCTCAGAGGAGGACAGACATATAATTGTGCGTCAGAGGTGTGGTTACAGCAAGGCCAGAGGCCGAAGTAGTGGCCAGAGAGCCGAAGGTCGTGGCCAGGAAAGCACGAGGCTGGAGGCCAAGTGCCGAGGGCCAGCCAATGTGGAGCGCGAGAGGGAGGTCGCGTGGGAACGTGACGGGACAGGCCGTGCGCGCCGTCGTAGTTGTCCGCGTCCGCAGCCTGGGGAGTTATTTAGCGCTTCTGAGCCAGCGCCAGTCCCACAGGTGCTGCGTGCCGAATTTGGGTGAAGGTATGTGCCAGCGTGCCAGCCTCGGCGGAGGCGTGCAGTCAGCGATAACAGGAGCCAGGACAATCGGACACTCGTTGTTGCGGGGTAGGGCGCGATGGCAGCACCGGGAGTGCTAACAGAGCCGCATGACCGCGAAGAGGCGAAGAGGTAGATGTAGTAGCATTTCGTGGGAGTTGTGAATGTTCTCGAAAGTATTCCGAGTGTACTTGCGTGCGCTAGCGTCTGGCAATCGATGAGAACGCGCCGAAGTAGCGTCGGCCTAGCGTCGGTCTAGCGTCGACTAGCGTCGATGAGCGTCGGTTAGCGTCGATTCAAAAGTGCTGGCAAGATGACATGTGAGACTCTTATGGGTTGCCACAGAAGATCGGCGGCGAGCGAGGGGGGGAAACGAGAAGGAGAAGGCCGTCTCAGAAGGCGGCGGGACTTCTCAGAAGCCCTCGCTCCTTCTGAGAGGTTTTTCCTGTCTTCGGGGAAGGCTCAGAAAACTTCTCAGAAGGCCTGGGGACTGCCGAGACTTCTGAGAAGGCCCGCTCCTTCTCACTCCCCCCCCTCGCTCGGCACCGAGAAGAGGTGGCAAGAACACCGAGTGCTCCGGGTGCACACACGCACACACGGATGCACATGGGCTTTTCATCGTCCGCGGTTTGGCCCGCCACCCGCCAGGGGCGACGCGGTCCACACATTCCCTTGCCCCTGGCCAGGCCCACCCTGGGTCAAGAAGTACAGTCGGGGCCCTGAAGAAGGAACCCTTTTCGTTGGGGAGGGGCTCCGTGTTCCTTAATTGTTTCGCAGCTTGCCTTGGATTTTCCTCAGGCTTTCGATACTAAATTGAAGTTCAACTTATGGAACATAGGGGCCTCGTTCCTTATTTTGGGTTCCTTAGGTCAACGCCTCGGCTGTATGTGCCTTGCTGCTACAGTCGAGGAACCACAAACTGCATAAGCGCACTCTTCATGCGTTCCGCCCAGGTTTCTTGGATCGGCGTTCGGCCCCCCTGGCGGCGCTTCCGACGTCGCCCCAGGCGCGCTCCGCGCGACATGGAGGGGAGGGTCCAGGGACGCTCTACGAAATCCGCGCGGACCTTCAGTCAACTTTAGTAACGCCGTTGTTGTTCCTTTCTATAACGGTGACCTACCAATGCACCTCAGACGTGCACGTCTTTGTTGTTCTTTCTCTCTCTCTCTCTCTCGCTCCTCTTTCTATATAACTATATATGTATATGTATATACCATATATATACATATATATATATATACACAACGCTCCTGGGCCCAGGATGGGCCTGGCTGGGAGCAGTGGATCTCTGCAGATCCCATCGCCCTGCCACCTCGACACGTGCAGTCCAATCCCGGCGCCGAGAGGCGACGCGGCACGCAAAGCCGAGCGATGGCCTGCGCGGAGACGCCTCTGCTCGGCGGCCGCGCGCGGCGACTCGGCGAGGAGTCCCAGCGCGCGAGCCCGCGAAGGCCTTCCCAGAAGCCTCCCTCGAGGGCGTTTCTTGTGTCCCCCTCTGGAGGCGTCGGCGGGCACTGTCTCTCAGGAGGGGGAAAAAAAAAACAGACACAATGAATCGTCGATTCGCAGGAAAATATAGGAAATATTGGAAGTGGGGGGGGAGACAGGAACCCAGAAAATATAGGAAAATATAGGGAATAGTTTTATTTGTGTGTCTTCATTTGTGTGTCCCAGGGCCCCTTCAGTCTCACTGGTCTCCTCCCCTCTCCTCCGTCCCCCGCGGGCCGCCGCCCTGGCCCTTGGCCGCCCGCTGCCGGGCCACTGACGGCGGCGCTCCGCCTCGTGCCCTCGTGCCCCTCCCTCCCTCCCTCCCTCCTCGTGTCTCCCTCCCTCCCTCCCTCCCTCCCTCCTCCCCCCCTCCCTCCTCCCTCCCCTCCCTCCCTCCCTCCCTCCTCGTTTCTCCCTCCCTCCGCCCTCGCTCCCCCCTCCGCTGCTCTGGCGCAGCGCCCGTCGCCGCCCGCCCCGTCGCCCCCTCCCCCCCCCCCCGCGCGCCAGGCATGGGCAACTGCAAGTCCGCCTGCGCCTGCCAGCCGGGCTGCGTGTCCGCCCCGTCGATGCCCGCGCTCCGCAACAGCCGGAGGTCGCAGAGGCGGCGCGCGGGGCGGTGGCGATCGGAGGCCTCAAGCAGTGGCGCAGCGTCCCGGCTCGCCTAGAGGCCTACCAGACAATGTTCTAAGAGCCTTTTGGGGCTTCCACGAAGTGTTCTTGGAACATTCTGGCCGGGAGTGTCTTGTTTTGACGCATCGGGTCAATGTTCTGAGAACATGGTTTATTGTTTGTGTTATTGGAACATCTTTGGGGTTCACAGAAAATTTCGTGGTAGGACTATAGGAATGCCGGGACGGTCGGTCCCTGCTCAAGGAGGGGGGGGCGAGCGGCGAACATTGATCGGAAGTTGGGGTGTCGGCTAGGATCTCGATCATGAGGTGTCGTGGAGGGGATGCCTCCTCTGGCTCGTGCGCCATTCAAAAAAGATCCGACGATTCGTGAAGCCCAGTCGCGCAGGCACAGATCGACCGTTTAGGGGAAACCAGCAGTAATGCGCAGGATGGGACCCCACAGCGAGAGTCGCTGCGAACCCGTGCGAACTCGAGCGAACAATCCTAGGCAGGGTGAAGATGAAGAGGGTTCAAGTTGGGTCTGTCTTTTTGATGCGACGAAACATGCCTCTGGTATCGAGCTGATGCCCAATCGTAAGTGTGCCCCGCGCCACCTGCATTTCACATGAGGAGTGGTCTTCGTCTCAACGAGAAGGTAGTTCCACTTGTAGGTGGGACAAAAATGTATATATTTGTATGTCGGAGGCTGGGGGGTGAGTCCTACGTGAAACGGAGACCCCCCCTACCGGGAAATCGATTTCGGTTTCGGGCTCGTGCCGTGCGTGCCGTGCGCGCGTGCGGGCGAGGCGAAGCCTGCGTGGGCTGGCGAGAGGGAATCCTCCTGTGGCTGGGCCGCAGCCGGACCGAATGTAACTCCTCCGGCGGCCGGTGCCCTCGCGCGGGTCCCGCCGGAGCTGGGCCGCAGCCGGACCAAATGTTTCTCCTCGGGCGGCAGGTGCCGCGCGGTGTCCCGCCGCTCTCCCGCTGGTGTCCCGCTGGTGTCCCGTGGTGTCCCGTTGAGTGAGATCGAGACTGAGATCGATAGTGAGATCGAGACTGAGATCGATGTGGTGCCCCGAGGTGTCCCGTGGTGTCCCGTTGAGTGAGATCGGTAGTGAGATCGATAGTGAGATCGACAGGTGTCCCGTGGTGTCCCGTTGAGTGAGATCGATCGTGAGATCGATATTGAGATCGATGTGGTGCCCCGAGGTGTCCCGTAGTGTCCCGTGAAGTCCCGCTGAGTGAGATCGATAGTGAGATCGACAGGTGTCCCGAGGTGTACCGTGGTGTCCCGTTGAGTGAGATCGATAGTGAGATCGATCGTGAGATCGATAGTGAGATCGATAGTGAGATCGATGTGGTGTCCCGAGGTGTCCCGAGGTGTCCTATGGTGTCCCGCTGAGGGAGATCGACAGTGAGACCGATAGTGAGATCGAGAGGTGTCCCGCGGTGTCCGGTGGTGTCCCGTGGTGGCCCGTGGTGTCCCGTGGTGTCCCGCGGTGTCCCGTTGAGTGAGATCGATAGTGAGATCGACAAGTGTCCCGTAGTGTCCCGTAGTGTCCCGTGGTGTCCCGTTGAGTGAGATCGACAGTGAGATCGATTGAGTCAGATGTTGGTTCCTCCCCCTCTCCCCCCCCCACAACCTCCTTATCACCCGAAGGGTGGTCGTATAGGTTATGTATATAGTATTCTGTATGTGCGTCCTTCATCTTTGGGACGTCCCTGCCCAGAGCGTACATAGTTTTTGCCATCGGTTCCATGCTCTCCCACCGTGCCGTCCAGTCTTTGTGCCCTTCTTCCCTGCACTGCCGTTCGTGATTGGTGACATGCCTCCTGCGCGTTCAGTGCTGAGGTAATCTGCGATCGGCCTTGCCATCGACGCCATCCGTTCTCCTGATGCCGGCCTCGCCCAGGTTGCCGTGCAAGTTCTGCTCTGCGCGCCATCTGTGCACAGGGTGCCATGCTACCCGCGAGGCCGTGCCTTCCCAGAACGCAGTCCTGGCCAAAGGTGATGCGCTGGCCCCGCGTGCCGTCCCCGCGCGCGGCTGAACTGCCCGCAACGTTCGTCGAGGCCACCGCTCTCGGTGTCACTGCTGTCCGGGGCCCTGGTCGTGCCCAGCGAGCGTTCACTGTCCGCGACGCCGTTCCTGCCCTCGGTGCCGTGCTCTTGGCCTGTGCGCCCCCTGTGCCCGAGGCGCCGCTCTGGCGCGGCGCACCGCCCACGCCCTCCGAGCTGTCCTGGCCCGCGGCGTATCCCGTGCCCTGGACGCCGTACCTTCCCAGCGTGACCTGCCTGCCCTCTACGCGTGGCCCGTCCCGGCCCGGGGCGCCCTTGCCCAGCGGGCCGCCGCCGCGTGCGCCTGCCCGTCGGTGCGCGCCTGCCCCGCCTGTCCGGCTTGCGCGGCCCCAGCGCGCCGCGCCGTCTCTGCCGTCGGGGCGGGCCGCACTCGGGGCGGCGCCCTTCAGGAGGGGAAACAACACACAGACACAATTAATCGTCGACTCCCCAGAAAATATGGGAAACCATGGGAAGTGGTGGGGAAGACAAGAACCCAGGAAATATGGGAAAATATGGGGAATAAGTATTCTTGTTTGTGCGTATTTATGTGTGTGTCCCAGGGCCCCTTCAGCCTTTCCCAATCCCCCCTGCCCTGCCCGCGGTAACGGCCCTGCTGCCGGTGCTTCCCCTACATGCCCGGCGTGCCGCCCGTGCAGCGGGGGGAGCCTGCCTCGGAGCAGAGGCGGTCGCACGGGCGCACGTCTGAGGGAGAGAGGCGCCTTTGGGCTTCGGGGATGCTCAGTATCCTTTATCCGACCTCCATTGCGGGCAATACTTATATCCATATGCAGTGCGTCTTGGAATTTCTTGGAAGGGGCGCCGCAAGGCCGAGGCGCACTGGATATTGATAAAAGTTGAGCCTTTTGGAGGCAGATAATAATCCATATCCAGTGTGCCTCATGTTTCTTGGGAAGAGTGTCCGAAACTCCAGGACGCACTGTATGTGGATAAAGACATTGCCCGCATCCATCTCCATCCTGATCCCCTGCGAGACCCCCACCAAATTACCGCCCCAGTTTGGGATGCACCCCTCGAAACCCGCAGGGGAAGGCCTACATCCCCATCTAGGGGGGTAAAAGTCGGCCAGTGGGGCCCAGGCCACGGCGCCGGGGATGGGGATCGGTGAAACGATGCTCGGATGCGGGGAGCGCGAGGTGGGGTGACCAGGCCGGCTCTGCTGCGATGTGGGCGCAGCTGCAGCGCACTTGGACGGCCAGGCCTCCACGTCAGGCCCTCCGCCGGGAGTGGAAGGCATCGGCCCCCTAATCGCCCACTCCTCGCCCCATCGGGGCCTGGGCCCCCGGTGCCCCGCCCGGCCCCAGGGAGCTCGGGGGGTTCCTCCTCGGGGGCATGCCGCCGACGTGTCGGCGATCTGTCTATCGCTGATTCCGCGTCAATGTTCCCCCCCCCCCCGAGCCAGTTCCCCTGTCTCGTCCCCCCTCACCCATGGAGGTCTCTGGGGGTCCCCAAAGAGGGCCTCCGGTCGGAGGATGCCAGAGGTAATTCTAGCCCGCGATGCCCACATGTTCTCGCCGCATCTCGGAGCACGTGAGGCCTCCTTTGGCTTTCCTGGGAGAGGTTGGCTCACCTTAGGTCCTCCTCTTCCACCCTGTCGATGAGCACGTAACCCGCAGGTGCGCGAAGTAAATTGCGCTTCGCGCGTCGCAGCCTGGGCCTAGAGAGGCGATTGCCTCCAGCGGGCATCGCGAGAGCGCGAAGGGCAGCGCGCTTCGCTTGCAGGGCAGAGCGCGAAGTTCTTTGAATGTTGTTTTGTGCTTTGGATTTGCGTTCCGCACGGACTCCATCGATGACGAGGCCTCGAGACGATGAGAAGGCCCGAGAGAGAAGACGGCGGACCAAAGACCAAGCGACGGACCGAGAGACCAACGCAACCGAACGTTGGACCCAACAGAACGCACGCTTGCGAAGCCAGGTGACCTAGCTGAGGTGAAGGAGGGTGAGGTGGTGGAGCCGTACCTCCGATTTATGTGTCTTGGTTGTTTCGATATGGGCCCCGCAGACCCCTCGGCCCCTTCCTGGGAAGCACTGGCTTCACCCTGAACTCTGCAGGGCCAGAAGCTGCGACGCGTAACAGAAAGCGGCTGACCCTGATCTTTTCCTTTTTTCCTCCACCCAGCAGAGGTCTGGCCACTGGGGCCAGCTTGAAACGGGCCCGAAACCTAGCGGGTTGAAACTGGAGCCTTGCCAGCTCCGTGCAGCTGTCCCAAGAGGGGCCAATGAGCAATAATCCTATCCTCATTCCCGTGCTTGGGGTGCTTGCTCTGCAGAGATCGGCGCAACTTGTGCTGTGCTGCCTTATTGCACTTCCACCCGGGGGTCCCAAAACTGGGACAAACCTTGCCGAGGCCCAGTGGTTTCGTGGAAGCGTACTGGCAGCACTTCTTGCAGAACAACAAGGTGTCACCCACCTCGGCCTCAGGCCGCGGGGTGAGCTCACACCACTCAATATCGTGTGTGTGGGCGAATTCGGTCACACACTGAAAGCTGGGTGGCACATCGCTCTGCCTACAGTCCCGCTGGTCCAGGGAACTGTGCGGGGCCACCTTAGACCTCAAACATAGCTTGCACTGCCAGCGGGAGGGTCCGACCTGGATAAAATCGTGGGCGATTTTGCGAGCGGGAACCTTGGGGCACTGTGCCCGTCGGAGGTCCTTCCATTCAACTCGGGGCGCTGGCCCCGAGGCAAGGACACGGGCAGCAGCTACGGCGAATTTCGAGACCCGCGCAAGCTGGTCTTCGAGATGGGCCAGAGTGAGGCCGTGGATATCGTGCGGCTTGCAGGCCGACTTGGCAGCCTGGTCGGCCTGGTCATTTAACCAGGCCCTCCATTCAGCGGGAGACGCGGGGCTCTCAGGGACCTCCACATGGGCCTTCTGCTTGTGGAGCCCTTTAAAGGCGGCGTCTTGCCGTGGCAGCCCCCTCCAGAGGCCAGCGAAACGTTTTCTGGGGGTCGCACCTGCCACAACCCCGGCACGGGCAATTGAGAGGACCGCCGAGCAATCCCCAACGTAGTCACAGGAGCCATCAATAAATCTGGCCCCTCCCGCGAAAGCCTGGTGCTCCGCCTCCACGGCCGTCTGGGCCGAGGTGGGCGGGAGGGTCCCTAGGAGACGGTGGAGCTTGCCCGTGGCTGGGTTCCACTGCACAACCCCGAACCCCCCCCCGACGAAGCGACTCGAGCAGCGAAGTCGAGGCCGATTCGTCACCAGCCACGGGCTCCCCTGAGACAAAACGGAACTGCGACAGACTGACCTCCTCATCCCCAACGAAAGCACGAGTGACAGACGAAGGAGGCTCGAGGTGGAGGGAGGGACCCTGCGGCAGCAGGTGGCACTCGAGAGTGCAGTCGGCACAGGCGCGGAGGGCGGCGACGGCCTCAGGCCAGGCGTCACCCTGCTCACTTCTGCCGCTCTCCAGCGCGCCGCAGTCCACGACGCGGTGCAGTGGCGTGTCCTCGACGCCGCATGCCGGGCACAGCGGGCTGACCGCGTAGCCCCGTCGGGCGGCCAGCGTCCTGGTCATGAACGTGCCGCCGAACACCGAGACGAGGATGTGGCGATGGAGGGGGTCGATGCGCTTGGTGCCCACGACAGTCCTCAACGCCTCCCACCAGATCGGTGTGTCCGTCAGGCCGAAGAGCGAGGCTGCAGCTGCATCCGCACGCCGTTCAACTTCACGTAGCACGTCGGCCTGGAAGATCAGGCCAACCTCCTTGGGCCCTCGAGCGAGGATGGAGATCTCGCCATGCGTGGGCGAGAGGAAGGAGGTTGCATGCATGGCGGTCCAGCCCGCCCACTTCAGCACGCGCAATATGGCCCCAATGGGCCCTGCCTCAGCGCGACCCTCGTGGTAGTCGCCGAGGGCCACGTCGAAGGCAGCCTTCAGACAGGGGACTGGGATGACGCGCCCATTCGCCTGCCTGCGGTCTGTGGTGCGCCACCACTCCTCCGCGTACCTCACAATGCCAGCCGATGCGAGGTCGCCCAGCGGATCCAAGGCGGGAAGCAGCGCGCCCATGATGTCGCTGCTGACGTACGGGTGCCCGTGCACGCGCTTCGCGCGGGAGCGGAGGTCGCTGATCTCGAGGTCCGTGAAACCCGTAACCTCGCCACCCCAGCGCGCAGACGGGAGCCGCAGTGTGCCAGACCCGCTTGCAGCCCGCCACAACGGCGGCCGCCTGCAGCGCCTTGCGCATCCGCGCTCGGCCCAGGCGTAGCCTCGCCCTCCTCACAGGGCCTGCGCTGTGGACGACGCCAGGGAGCTCGCGTCTGTGGCTGGCGGCGCCGCTGCGACGAGCACCGGGCACCCCGCGCAGTTGGGCGCGGCGGCCCGCGCGAAAGTCCACGCCGAGGTACCTCATGGAGCCCGTCCCGCGCCGGCGGCACGCAGCCTTCGGCGGCAGGCCAAGGCTGCGGAGGGCGTCCTGCGCACAGCTGGAGAAGCGGTCCGTGGAGCCGAGAACGGTGCCCTTGCCGCTGGCCAGCTCCATGTGCAGGTCCTGCTGCAGCGCGGCCTTAAGGTCCCTGGCGGCGTCGACGAGGAGCGCGATGGCCTCGCCCTCCGTGCCCGCCACGACCTCCTGCCCGATGTCGTCCACGTGGACGGAGAGCAGCACCTCGGGGTGGTGCTCCTGCTGGGCCTTCAAGTCCGCGATGAGGTATGCCGCTAAGGCGTACGTCGCAGCAAAGCACCCGGCCACAATGCCGTTGTCGGGCAGGATGCCCGCGGAGACCATCCCGTCCATGACCACGTACCTGGCCCACCTGACAGCGCCGACCACCACCCGCAGGATCGCCGCGGGGAAGCCCACATCATGCGCCGTTTGGATCAGCTTGGCGTGCGAGACCTTCTCGAAGGCCTTGGCCAGGTCCCGCAGCAGCACGAGGAAGGCCTTGCCCGTGCCGACCGCCGCCTCGCCGCGCGCAGCAGCGCGCCACACCCTGATCTTTTCCAGATGCTGGAGGAGGGAGGAGGAGGAGGAGGAGAAGGGAGGCCTGTGGGGGAGGATTGGGTGGGCCTCCTCCTCCTCCTCCTCCTCCTCCTCCTCCTCCTCGTCCTCCCCCTCCTCCCCCTCCTCCCCCTCCTCCTCCTCCTCCCCCTCCTCCTGCTCCTCTTCCTCCTCCTCCTCCTCCTCCTCCTCCTCCTCCCTCCTCCTCCCCTCCTCCTCTCGTCCTCCTCCTCCTCCTCCCCTTCTCCTCTCCTCCTCCACCTCCTCCTCCTCCTCCTCTTCTCCCCTCCTCCCCCTCCCCCTCCTCCTCCTCCTCCTCCTCCTCCTCCTCCTCCTCCTCCTCCTCCTCCTCCTCGTCCTCGTCCTCCTCCTCCTCCTCCCCTGGCGATAGCGGGCGTGACCCGGGGGAGAGGGGGTTGGGGGCCGCTCACTCCACGATTCGCGCCAGCGCCGTCTGGGAGTGCTCAAGAGGGGCCCATTCGCACGAGCAGTGACGTGACCAGTGGGGGGCGAAGGGGGGCGGCGGGGCTGGTCACAGGCGTCATCGCGAATAGTCTACAACTGGGGTCCAGAGATCCCCGGCTTGTCCTGGTCCGAGTTTGCCTTGGTCCCGGCTTCGTCTTGGAGCAAGGTTGCCGGCCCGTCCTCGCCCGCGGCGGGGCCTTCCTGGCCTATCAGTATCGTGTAACATATCCCCATCCCCATCGGGCCATGGTATCTCAGCCCCTCCACTCCAGCGCCCCACTTGACCACCACCTAGATGTGAAACTGGGTCAGTGGGGCCCAGACCACGCCAGTGGGGATAGGGCTCGGCGAAACGATGTTTAGCTTCTTTCCTCTCCGCGCAGCGTGACGCGCGCGAGACAGGCTGGGCCCGGCGCAGCACCCGTCTGGCATGGGCCTGGACAGCAGCGCCCGAGCGCCGCCGCTTCCGGTTCCCTTTTATCCAGGCCTCTTCGTCGCGGGCGGCCAAGATGGGGGTGATGATGACGGGGGGGGGGAAACGTCATGGCGGGGGCCATGGGCCATGGTATCTCCCAGATCTCATGGCCCCCTCTTCTTTCCATGCGTCTCCTGGCCTCTCCCTGGGCCGCACACGTGCCTCAGGCCATGGTTTGCGACCACCCCTCTTGGACGCTTCCCTCTTGGACGCCCCTGGTCGCAGATGGGGTCCGGGTAGATAGCGCCGCCGGGCCGGGAGATGGAGCCACATCGGCGATGCGGCTCGATGTGGAGCCCGATTTCTTCCACGTCGTCGGCTCTGTCGCGTCGCCGACGTAGCCGATGCATCGCTGGTGCGTCGGCAATGTATCGGCGATGCGGCGCGATCCTCCGACCCCATCTACTCGGTCCCCATTTTGGAGGCCTATGGTTTCTGATCGGAAGTCTCGAGTTCACCAAAGCTCGGTGTTGCCGACGCGTTCTGACGGGCCCGTCCCTATGAATTCTTAAGGTCCCATTTTCGTCGGATGTTTGCAGCGGGAGTTAGCAAGACATTTCAGTCTGGTCGATGGCGAAATCCGAACCTTACCCTCGCCGATCCACGATTCCGGCAACTCGATGGGCCGCGGGGGTAGGGCTCGGATCTCGTTGAGACAGGCGCCGCCGATTGCGGAAGAGTTTATTATACAGCGTTTTTCGCCCGCCACTTTACACACTTCCCCCACAAGGCCCCAGACCGAAGCGGAATCTATTCTTCTCGGCTGCTCCTCGGGTCCCGTGCTTTCGGTGTTTGGTCGCAGTGTTTCAGGAGGGGAAAAAACACACATACACAATTAATCGCCGATTCACCAGAAAATATGGGAAAACATGGGAATTGGGCGGGAAGACAAAAACCCAGAAAAATATGGGAAAATATGGGGAATCTTTTTATTTGTGTGTATTTATTTGTGTGTCCCAGGGCCCCTTCAGTGTTGGCGGACGAGGTCGAAGCCCGTGCGGGGACGTTGCAGGGCGAACTGTCCGCGAGCGGGGCGGGAGGCGGAGGAGGGCGGCCGCGGAGGGGGGAGATGGAGGTGGGCGGCGCACGCAGGCCACGAGAGTCTTCATGGCGGATGCCCACGCAGGCGGTGGCCCGAATGGTTGATGGATTGTTTCCCCGGTGTGCAAACATTAGGTTGACATCGGGAGCCTCGAGACGGAGGTCAGTGCAAACGGGGGTCAGCCAGGGCGCCGGATCCTGCAGGATCCTGCGAAGGCCCCCACTGGCTGACCCGGGTCAGGGAGCCGCTCGTGGCCGCGAGGCGGCCGCGCATATTGGCTGACCCGGGTTTGCGTAGACCTGCGGTGCAGTTTTTTTTTCCTGCATTGCAGTTTTTAGTTTCTTGCTGACCCGGGTCTGGGTTGACCCGGGTCAGAAGATCCCCGATGACATTGGGCAGTGTGGGTCCCACACAGTGAGTTGTTGTACCCTGGAGGTGTACGCAATGTGCTGCAGTCGGCGTGGTGCAACTTATATACGGTGTAAGCCATGAGGTGCAAGCCGTGCGGTGTATGCTGTGCTGTGCGAGCCGTGTGGTGTGAGATACGTGGTGCAAGCTTGCAAGCCATCTGGTATAAGCTGTGTGGTGTAAGCAGCGTGTCAGCTGAAAACCTGGGTGGTGCGATCCGTGTTGTGCAATCAACTTTACCACTGATGAGTGGGCGAAGCCACTGCTCGCGCAAACATCCTACCTTGCAACCCGCAACTTGCTTGGCAAAACCCGTTCAGCCACGATTGTGGTCACGGGTTGGCATTTGCTACCACGTCTCTACGACCGAATTGGCGCGCGCACGTTCGCACGCAAACCGACAATACGGTTTGGTATTGTGTCGGTTCTGATGCCATTTTCCGATATAAGTTTCCCAGTGGGTCTCAAAGGTCGCGCTGGTGCCCGGGCTCTTCAGCGCAGGATGGTGTCCCCGGCGGGCGCGATATCATGATGATGTCGGCAACGGCGGCAACGACGATGATTCCTCTCGCTTCGCGGGGGGTGCACGTCCGGAGCACGTACAGTCACGTCGTCGCGGGGCCTCTTGGGAGCCTCTTGGGGGCCTCCTGGAGGCCTCTTGGGAGCTTCTTTGGGCCTCTTGAGGGCTTCTTTGGGGCCTCTCCCCCCTCCCTCCTTTTCATGCTCCCTCCCCATATCCCCTTCCAGCGCCAGCTCTAATCATGCGCGCCGCCGTGACCAACTTCCACCTGGCTGGCGCTGTGCCGTCGTTCGCCCAGGGGGGGAAATAACATTACGCTCCAGTCGTTGTGTGGCCTTGTGGGGGTTTCTTTGAGGCCTTTTGGAGGCTTCTTGGGGATTTCTTGGAGGACTCTAGGTTTTTTTTGCGAGTTCCTTGGGGGCCTCTTGGGGGCCTCTCGGGGCCTCTTGGGGGCATCTTGGGCAGTTTTGGTGCGTTTTTGCGCCGTTCCGCCCCTTCGGAGGCCGTCTTGGGGGCCTCTCGCGGCCGCCTTGGGGTTGTCTTGGGGTCCTCTTGGGCCGCCTCAGCGTTTTTTTTGACCGCCTTGGGGGCCCCTTTGAGACGTCTTGGGGCCCTCCTGGGCCGTTTGGAGCCCTCTTTGGAGCATCTGGGAGCCTCTTGGGGACGTCTTGGAGCCGTCTTTGGGCGCTCTTACGCCGTCTGGCCACTTCGGAGGCCACTTTGGAAGCCTCTCGCGGCCGCCTTGGGAATCTCTTGGGGTCCTCTGGGGCCGTCTTGGGGGTTTCTTGGGCCGTATTGGAGGTTTTTTTTGGCAGTCTCGGGGCCCTCTGGGGCCGTCTTGGGGCCCCGTTGGAGGCCTCTTGGGCCGTTTGGGGGCCTTTTTGGAGGCTGCTTGGGCCGTCACGGCCTTCTGAGAGCCGAAAAAAGCGAGAAAGTTGAAATTGTCCCAACACTATAGGACAATCAAAGATTTTGGCACCTGGAGGCGCTCTCGGGGGTCTTCTTGGGGTCTGTTGGACGTTTTTGGGGGCCTCATGGGCCCTCTTGGGGCCGTCTTGGGCCATCTTGAGGCCGGCTTGGGCTGTCTTGGGGCCATCTTGGGCCGTCTTGAAACCTTCTTGGGGCCCCAAGAGGCCCAAGAGGCCGAATCTGTTGATTTCTTATAGGTTGTTGTAGGTTTTTGGGCCCCAGAAGGGGCCCTCCACCTTGGGGTCGACGGAAGTGGCGCGACTCCGGGGGGGGGGGGGGAGACATAATAATGTAACACCATACAATACGTGATGATGTCGGCAACGGCGGCAACGACGATGATTATTCAGGCTTACGCCACATCCGCCGACCCCTTGATTCGGTACGGGTGCCAATTCAGAATCTCGTATGGGGATGTCGGGACACTCTTTCGGGCACTGGAGACTCACTATTTTGGGCCGCTCTCCCGGGCACTCGGGTCTCACTCGGGTTGTCAGTGCGGCCTCTTCGAGCTCTCTTGGGCTGGACTCTTGATAATTTGGGTTCGCGTTTCGGGTTGTGCCTCTTATTGGGCTCTCTTGCGGCTGTCCTGGGTGCGTTTTGGGTTGTCTTGGGCGCTTCCTGGAAGCGTCCTGGGCAATGTGGATGCGATCTTTGGGTCTTCTCGCGCCGTTTGGAAGAGAGCAACAGGTGAACATTTCCCGAAAAGCTGGAAAAGGGAAAGTCCACTTGCAAGAGGACAAATCTTCGGCGCTTGCAAGAAGAAGCACCCCAAATCCCAGTTCGCGGGTGGACCGCATTTCGCGCGTGCCCAACAACACCGCACCTGCGCGTGAGCCCGCGGCAGCGCTTGTGGCAGCGCGCGAGCGCGCGGTGCTGTCAGGCGGAACAGGAAAAGGAGAGGGGCAGGTCAAGGGAGGGAAAATTTTATGCAGGCGGTGTACAGGTAGTGAATTGCTGGGTATGACATTGTTGGTACGGTCGAGCTCCGTGACGGTGTCTCGCAGCCTTCGGCCCATCCCGCCGCCGTGCCTGCGTTGTGAGAGTATGAAGCACCGGGAATGTTCGTAGGAATCTCGCGGGGAGGGTTCCCGTGAGCCTCTCGGCGTCAGTATTGAAGGCTCCTGGACGCCGTTCCAGAACCTCTTTTCAGCCTCTTGGAGACCTTTGGGGCCTTTTTTTTTGCGTGCCTTTTGGAGGCCTCTAGGCTTCCTGGGAGCCACTGGTGGCCTTTCCTGAGGCCGTCTTGGAGCGTTTGGGTGCCGTCTTGAGCGCCGCTGGGGCCTTCTTCGAGCTCTCTTGGGCCGTCTTGAGGGATTTTTGGGGAAGTTGTGGGCCGTCTTGGAGCGGTTTGGGGTGCCTCGCGGGTGTTCGCCCACGCCGCGAAGGACGAAAAGGCGCGTATGCGACAAGTGCACGATACCCATCGGAATTCGACGATTTCGGGTTTTTGGGGGCTTCCTGGGAGGCCTCTTGGAGGCCTTTTGCGGAGTTTTCGCGGCTTCTGGGGCGTATTGGATCGATCGTGCGGCGACTTGCTTGGGAGGCTTGACGAGTTGTCTTGGAGCTCCAAGCGGAGCCTGCGGGGCCCGGACCGCCCCTGATGAGTTCGGGGGTGGGTCGGATCCGACGAAATGGGGGGGTGGGAATTGCATGTTTGGGGTCCCGGGGGGGGGGGGGCTGCTTAAGGGGGGGGGGGGGGGGGGGGGGGCAATCGCACGCGCGTAGAGACCCACAAGGGGTCGGCGGATAACAGCGACGTGGTGGCAACGTTGACGATCACGACGGCAAGGCCCATGGCGGCGTCGATGTTGGTGACGACGGGGACCAAAATCATGTTCACGTTTTTATTATGGAGGCAAGTGCGACAATGATGGCGGCAATGGCGGCGATTGAGGATGAAGGTAGCGGCGGTCATGCCGTGGCGCTGATGCGGCTGATGGTGACGCGCTGGCGCGCAGGATTTTGACAATTTGGCAGATTTTTGGTTGAAACAGCTTGTTTATGGTTCTTCCATGACCAGTT